CCCGCGGGACCGCCGGGGGAGCCCAGGGGCCCAGTCGTGGGTTCCAGAGGCCAGAGCAAAGCCCTGTGAGCCCAGCAGCCAGCTCCCACCTTCCCGCAGAGCAGCACAGCAGTGCCAGGCCCTCCCAGCACCACGGGGCGTGTTCTGTTCACCCGTCTGCCCCGGTCACTCACAGATGCAGCCCACAATCCTCTTGCTGGAGATGGAGGAGACTAGGTGGGGATCCTCCTTGGTCCCTGAATAGCGCTTTGGTGGGAGGATGTTGTACGGATCCTAGAGGGAGCGCGGAACCATTAGCCAGGGCTTAGCACACCTCCCATGCCAGAGCTACAACTGGGCCCAATGGCTCCCAGGCCATCAGCCCCCAGCACCAGCTGGTCTGCTCCCACACCCAGGCCCGGCTCTGGAAGCTGTGGCTGGATGCTGGTTCCACGCCATGCGGCACTGAGCAGCACAAGCCCAGGGATACAGGAGACCAGTGAAGCCCCTGCTCAGCTTGTCTCATTCTAAAACTAGGATCCCCCTGGCCCACCCTGTCAATGATTTCACCCGCCTATCACAGCGGGAGCCTGAGGCAGTGAGCGAGAGCATGGTGCCGTGGTTAGGCTGCTTGGTGACGGTGAATCAAGGAGGGTGGGCTAGAGATGGGAGTATCAGTGGGGGAGAGGCTGGCATTCGGGGACCCATTTCAGGGTGGCTCTGCTCACCTGTCCCTTTTCCATGGCCTGCATGACTTTCCTCTCCAGGCCTGTTGCCTGCTCTTCATCAGTGGGGATACCTGGGCATGGGGGAGAGAACAGCCGGGCGTGAGGATCCTCACCAGGAACAGATCCCTCCCGCCCCATGCACCCCTCTGGCACCGGGCAGAACGGAACAGCTGGGCCCCCCCCATCACCAGGAAGAGGCAGATACCAGTAACGAGGGATTCCAGCCTTGGATGTGCAGCTAGCTGGATTGTGATGACCAGGAGAACCTCATGGTGATTTGCCTGCTGGGCATGGCTCTCTCCAGACAGGCTGATGTACAGTGCTGAGGGGCCAGCGGCTGTGGGAGGTGTAGGTACCATTGACATAGGGAAGGAGGGGGCCTGGAGTCCAAATTTGGGATGGTAGGTAGGAGATTGAAGTCCAGGATCTCCATGGTAGCAGTCTCTGAAATGCTTCCAGGTCCACATGCAGTGTCTCAATGCGTGGAAGAGACAAGGGAGCAGGGAGGAGGCTGTTAGGAGCCTCTACAGCCAGGGCAGCATCCAGCTAAACCAAACCAGGCTGTGCAGGGGAGTGGGAAAGGCGGTACAGCTGCATTTCAGTGCAGATGGGGCAGTGGAGAGCATGGCTTAGAGCGATCCCTTAGAGGACCTACTAATGTGACACTATCCTAGTACAGGGGAGAAGACAGGAGTGGATGCAAGCGGGAACTGAAGTCAAAGGAAAGAGCCCCATTCAAATGACATCACATGAAGGCAGACAGTGACTAATTTGGTAAGTGCTAGGAGCCTAAACACTCAGGCTACGTCTAGACTGGCCCCTAATTCTGGAAAAGTCATGCAAAGCAGGTAAGTCAGAATAGGGAAATCCGCGGGGGATTTAAATAAACATGTCCACCGCTTTTTTCCCGGCTTGGGGAAAAGCCGGAAAAAAGCATCTAGACTGGAAAAGGGCTTTATTCCGGAGGATCGCGCCAGTCTAGACGCTTTTTCCGGCTTTTCCCCAAGCCGGGAAAAAAGCGGCGGACATGTTTATTTAAATCCCCCGCGGATTTCCCTATTCTGACTTACCTGCTTTGCATGACTTTTCCGGAATTAGGGGCCAGTCTAGATGTAGCCTCAGATGGGTGAACATGAGCACCTGGTATTGAATGAGGAGGTTGAGATAATCAGCATCAGAAAAACTTGTCAGGACACCAATACTCAATGGCTCATGGAAATACTAGAGTACAAGAGTCACACAGCGTGGAGTAGTTCGTACTGGTGGGGGATGGCTCTAATGGCCCAAACTAAAAGTAAAGTCCCAATTAAAATAAGAGAAGCAGTAAGAGGCCCAGAGTAAGGGAGGCATAAGCAAAACAGCCTGTTAAAGTGGAAATCAAATCCCAAAGAAAACAGGGAACTCACTCTGGCAAGTCACATGCAGGCCAGAAAAACAATTTGAAGTGCAACTAGCAAGAGACCAAAAATCTATCACAAGCAGGAAGCTGCCAAGCAGCCAGTGGGGCCACTGGACCATCCAGATGCTAAAGCAGCACTCAAGGAAGACAAGGCCATTGCAAAAAATTCATTTAGTTTCTCCGTATCCGTCTCCACAGCAGAGGATGCGAGGGACATTCCCATACCAAAGCCATTCATTGTAGGTGACACATCTGAGGAGCTGTCCCAGGTTAAGGTGTTAGCAGAGGGGGTGGTAGAACAAATTGCTAAATTACACATTAATAAGCAGGTATTCACCCAAAAGTTCTGAGAAACACAATCATGAAATCGCGGAACTACTAATTGTGGTATGTAACCTATAACATCAATCAGCTTCTGTACCAGACGACTGGAGGACAGCTAATGTAACACCAATTATTTTAAAAAGCTCCAGAGATGATCCTGGCAATTACAGGCCAGTAAGCCTCAGTTCAGGACCAGGATTCAAACTAGAATAAAGAACAGAACGATCAGACAGATGAACACAGTATGTTCGGAGAGCATCAAGGTGGCTTTTGTAAGACCCCGCACGTCACTAACCTATTACAATTCTTCCCACCGGGTGGTGGGGCAAAGAACATGGACAAGGGCTGTCCAGTGGCTACACTGTACTCGGACTTCGGAAAAACCTCTCACAAGGTCCCTCGCCAAAGGCTCTTAAGCAAAGTCAATCGCCCCGGGCGAAGAGGGAGTCGCTCTCGGATCCGTGGCCAAACCTGCGGGCGGCAGCGCCACGGGGGGAGCCCGGGACCGAGCGGCGGGTGCGAGTCAGCGCCGAGAAACGCGAAGCCCCCGGGACGGGTCTGAACACCCCCCCCGTCCCGAGCCCCCCCCTC